TAACAGAGCACAGAGGGGGAGGATGGGGAGAAGTGTGGTGAACTTATTTCTAACAACTTTATCTGACTTATTTCATTTTATTTATTGTTTTTATCATCCTGCAGGCTCTGAGAGAAAATTAATTTGAAGCTGGGTTTTTGAAAAAAATAATTAGATTGCTCTAAAAGTCTGTAAACCTGCAAAATGAGGGAAAATCTGTGTAAATTACAATCTGTTCATGTGAGCAGCTGTCAGCATCTGTCATCCTCCAGATGCACAACGGAGCGTGTCTGAGCCAATCACTTTTTTGACACTGATCAGCTGACTGATTTAAATACATCTTAACATTCATGAGGTACTTTACATTGACTGTTTATGGTTGAGTGTGGGCGTGTAGAGGGTAGAACCTGAGGCAGGACCTCGTGCGCAAACTCTGACGTGCGGCTGTGACTTATAAAGGAAAGATGCGCAGAAATATGCATACGCACGGTTTTATCAATCTGAATTTTTTTTTTGGCGTACGCCATTTCCGCCTTTTGGCCATACATTCACTTTTAGTGTGGTTTCCACGCAATCCTTTATAAATGAGACCCCAGGTCTGTAATTGAATTTGAATGAAGGAATTTGTTTGATTCCAAAGGCACATTGTGAGAAAAAAAACACAACAGCTGGATGGGTGTGTCTTCAGTGGTGTATTTTCAAAACCACAGCTTGTAAAACTGTATTCTTGGTCACGCACATTATTGTTGTCCCTTGTTTCCGTCCACTTCAGGAGCTGCCTCCACGATTTATAGTCTGGACCTTGGATGTTTTCTGTCCCATGCAGCTGTTGAAAGAGAAGCAACTCTGCGGCGAGTCCAAAAGACAATTTGTCGCACATTTAAAAAAATTTAAGTAAACTATCGAGCCTCTGCTGCTCACGTGACAAAATCAACACTTCGCTGAAAGATTTGAAGTGATTCGGAGACAACATTGCCAACACTATCTGAAAACCAGTCCAGTGAGAAACCAGCATAAGCACTTCCTGCTTGAAGTGTTAATGCTAGCTGCCGCTGCTACTATTTTCACTCGCAGAATAACCAGGCAATGTGAAAAATATTTATAAAAGTATTTATATAAACTGCAACAACATTACTGAAGTCGTTTAAAGTGGACATCATTGTAAATCCTTCTTTTCCACATTTAATGCAAACGAGGCGCTTCACACCCCGCCCCCTCCACCCCGATAGGCCATTTTTATCCAGCGGCACTGAAACATTTTATTTACAAATTAATTAAAAGACGTCAACAAGGGACGACTGGTCCATCCAGCCTTACATGTTGGAGCCAGAGTCTGGTTAGCCGGAAATGCATGACCTTTTTTAGCAGCAAATCCTGTGATGTTATTGTTCAGAAAACGCAATAGAAAGTAAAGAAAACTGAACGGGATAAAAAATACAACCCAAACAAAATATAAAGATATCTACTGAGCAATAGGAGAGACTAAATTAAACATTTCTGCCACCTGGAGACTCTGAGAACAACAAAATGTATTTAACAGCTAAAAAAGTGGTTTTGCATGACACTGACTAGTCGTTAGCTCATCAATCCAGTCAGAAATAAACTCATTCAAAAAGCGGTCTGCAACAGGTAAGATTATTATTGTTCAAAAGCCTCAACAGAACCCCACTTTGACAGATGTGAGGAATCAGAACCAACTTTAATATATAATCATTATATATTCTAAGCCTGAGCCACAGAAACAAATGACCCCATCAGGTCCTTCCTGCAGCTACACAGAAAACTTGAGGTAAAGCTCTGCCTCCGTGTGTGTGTGTGTGTGTGTGTGTGTGTGTGTGTGTGCGTGTGCGTGCGTGCATGTGCACTGATGGAAAACCTGTCTCGTTTTCCTGCGTGTCACAGCAGTAAGTGGTTCCCCGTGACGTTTTAAAACGAGCCGAGGACATGAAGGTACGACACACAGCAGCAGCAGCAGGAGAAGGTTCGGGTCAGAACTTCTCCTTCAGTTCTGCAGGACGAGAAAGGAAGGAGGAGAACGCTTGCTCACCTCTGCAGCTGTGGGTGTGTCGGCAGCTTTCACCTGACTCGCTTATACCTCTGCATGAAGCTCACCTGTCAGACAACACACCTGAGAACTCCCAGCTGTCCAGGTAAATCTCTTCAACGCTCTGCTTGTTTACAGCTTTTTCAGGTGGAATTTATTTCTGATTAATTTTACAATTCACGTTTTTACTCTTTGTGTTTAGTTGTGTTGTTTTAAGCTTTATATAAATCTGATTTGATTAAAAACGATAACTGTTTATAGAAAAAAAAAGGTTTCTGATGGATTTTAATTGGCAGGTGTGTTTTATTAAAAATGGTTATAATTAGTACTAATTATTAGCAGATGTTTTGCTTGTTTTTAACCATTTATGTTTGATATGTCTTGTTTTAATGCAAAAATGTGTCTTTAAACATAAATTTAACAATTACTAGAAGTGGTTTCACAACATTAGGTTTAGGTTTTGAATGCACAAAGGAATGCTGTTGACAATTCAATTTTTGTTAGAACAAAGAAAATGAGTCAGACTGAATCTAGATGTAAAGAACAAATAACTGTTACATCATTTCACTGAAAAACAACTGAATCAATGTTTTAATA